TATATATATATATATATATATATATATATATAAGTACTTCCCTCTTCAGCTTGTGGAAGAGCTGTTTGTGATGAGCTTTGATTTATCATGTGACTTTCTCATCACTACCTGTTTTTGGTGGTTATCAGTATTACAATGGTTCAAAACAGATATTAGTACTTCAGTATGCTGGTTTATTAATATTACATCAGTTAATTAAATACTTTTTTTATTGTGAATTTAAGTGAAGTCTGTAAAACCTAAAATGTTGCTATTATATATTTAACGGTGAAGTTCTGGCAACCACAGCTGCCGGTATTTTACCGTAAATGTTAAAAAACAGTAAAAGATTTTTTTTTTACAGTGCTGGAGCCTTTATCAATATATAAACCATGAGTTCCCACTTCCAGACAGCCATCACTCACAGGAGACACCCAACATCACTGCTGAGACTCATTCCTCCTTCTCAACCTCGGTCGGAGAGATCTGTAACTGCAGCTCATAGATCTGCACGTTGCTACACATATGATCCTGAGCCATATACATTTTATGGACTCAATATAAAATGTGCAGGAACAATTCAAAGAGACAATAACAACAGAATAACACAAATCAGACACAATTTGCTCATGGATGTGTATTTTAATAAAAATAATTCTGTCAAAATTAAATGAGTACAATATTTCTTTATCATGTTTCCAGTACATAGGTATGTCTCTTTTTTTTCTTCTTTTTTTAAAAGTGTTTTTCTTTTTTATGTTGTTTTAAAGGTTTTAAAGGTTCATGCTAAGTAGAGGGTAACTCATTTCACAATTTCTAAAAGAAAACTCAAATAAAATTCAAATCATAATAGAAGTAAATTGTGCACAGCTTGCTGTACTCCATTCCGCTCGTCCTGCTCCATTGTCTTTTGAGGCAGGAACATCACCACATGACTAAGAAGATATCGACAAAGATTTTGGCTACTTTCTTCCCTTTCATTTATGTAGGTCCCTATTTAAAGCCAATAAGAAGTTCTATGATGGATTATTTTAAAACGACAATATTCATTATAGGTGGTTAGATTATGATGAGTTCCAAAACATACTTGGCATTAAAAAACCGCCCCATGACAAAAGATCTACAACGTACATGTCAGTAGAAGAGTGCTTCTATATAAACTGCAATTTTGTAACTCAAACATAAGTAAAAAGTTACACAAGATGTCCCCATGCAACATGATACCACCATTTAACAACCAAATTGACCCATTTAGCGGAGTAAAATGGTAAAACAAGATTGTTAGGGATCAGGATGTGTAAAATTCCCGCCCCACACAATCAGACTGACACATAAACACTGCTAAAAACAAATGGTGGGGCTCCAAAACAGTGTAATCTGTGATTTTACTTTGCATTAGCGCCTATATTCATTATGTAACTCCAGAGTTGGGAAGGTCAACTTTATTTTAGCTACTGAGGAGCATGTGCAACCTTCCAGCGATGCTGTGACCTCTGACTTCAGCCAGATGATCTGCAGGTCAACCTGCACTACACATACCTTCCGTTAAAACGCCTGTCTTGATACAACAAGCTAGACAGCACTGTCCTAAGAGTAAATGAGGTATAACTGAAATGAACAAAAGCTGGTGTAGATACGGGAATGTAACAATCTCATGATGGCCAGCAGCAAAAAATGTGGGAAATAAAATCGGCTAAACTACATTCAACACCACAGCGGCGTGCTGGCAAGTAAAATGCTGGGTTGACATGGGATCGATTTATAGTTTTTCCTTCAAGGATGATCAGATAAAAAGAAAAAAGAAAAAAGAAAAAAAGAAACACAGGCTGCTAATGGGAAATAAAAAGTGTTAAGTGCCCGAGCCAGTTAACATCACATTTACAAAGGACATCGGGGAGGGAAAAAACCAAAACAATTGCACTGATATGAGGTCGAAGTGAAGTTCTGGAGCAACAAAGATGATTGCAATTTAAGGAGATGTTCTAGGTGCTAAAAAAGCAAGAAATTTGTTTGTTTCTGTTCATTTACAGGAACGCTGGGTCAGTCAATTGTCTTGCACGCTGCAAGTTCATACTCTGTCCCTCCATTACTGAACAGGAGAGGTAGACAGATACAGTAATGCATCATGTGCATTAATTGAAGTACAGTGCATCCAATGGTAAGAAACTTGAACAACAGTACTTAACAGCCAATGAAACAACCAATAACAAGTTGAAACGGTGTCAGTTTGTAGTTATTAATCTAACAGGAAAACTATCAACAGTGACACTATTCACATGGGTATAAAACATAAAGACTTTGTATACGAAGTTAGTCTGTAAGCTTCAGTGGAGCTTCTCAGTAATCAAACTACTGCCCTTAATTTTCTTTTGTCAAAAATTTTGCGTTTTTATTTGGTACAGCCACACAAATCAGAAAACCACTTGTTAACTTCAATATACCTAACTTAAAACTTAAAAAGTGAAGGCTGACATTTGCATGATACTCACTGCTATAAAGATGGTAAAATATAGGTAAAATAGATCCATTTTTGGGCAAAGGTCTATGGTTGAAAATATAACTCATCTACATTGGACCCAAGGACAAGTCTGCGTCGTCGTCAGTGTGATTGTGTCTAATGAAACTCGTGCTGGTGCCTGAGATACTAAAGTAGCTTAAAAGACGCTAGGAGTCATGCATTATCTCACCCTCTCTCGCACACTTACGCCAATTAAAATTTGTAAGGTCACACTTAATTCACGTATGCGCAACACCAACGTCCATTTTATTTATAAAGGGGCTGTTAAGGTTGACCAAATTTTAAAAAAACCTATAGATTTTGCTTGTACATAGACTGCTTAAAAACCCACAGTATGATCTGGTGAAGCGACACCTGTGTCCGCAAATATGCCGACTAAAGAAAGCTCTGTCTAAATACCTGAGCTCTGACTGAGAAAAACCAGAGTGCGTAGCTCAAATTTTCAGTAGGAACTTACCTTTATGTATATTTTTGATATGGTAAGCTTGAAATACTATGCACTGAATTCACCCATGAAAAAAAAAATTGTTTTGGAAGTTGATTTGTTTCAAGATGAGCACAACAAACGGACAAAATATAAACTAAAATAAAAATGACTAGATAAACAGAATAATTAATTATCTTTAAATAGTGTCACACAATTTGTATTTGATAATACTAAATTAAAAAGAAGCCTCTCTTCTCATGTTTCTATTCATTCTGCTCGGCTGCCTCTGGCAAACGGCAAGCGACACACCAATTCAAACGCGTGTTCTCGTCATGGCAACCAACTGGAAAGTCCTCCTCATAGCTGTCCTGAACACTGCCTGAGGGAAATACAAATGGGTTATGTATTAAACAGACAATAGGAAAAACTGGGATATTTTAATAAATCTAAAAAAAAAAAAAAAACATTTTTACTAACAGCAGAAAAAGAGGCTAAGTAAAATAAAAGTGATTTTGCAAAAGATTGAACACTTAACAAGACCTATAAATGTGTATTTAAACATGAATAAAAATTCAGTTGTCATATTTATTGATGTTGCATGGTCTGATTTACTTAATCTCGTTCACCTGTACACTATCAAAAAGAAACATTCAATTAGAAGCAGATGTCTGATTGACTATTTTCTTCGAAAGTACAAGACTTCTGATTCATTAGCAGGCAAATAACTAGCAGAATAACAAAGAGCAGTAACCTGTAACATTATTTGTGCTACAAACCAGTGTGTTTTTGATGATGATAATATATTAAAATAATATGACAATATCACAGTTTGCAATATAAAAGGACTGTTTGTTTTCGTACAGCTAAAATAACTGGAAGCGAATGACCCTGGAAGCCTCACACATTCAAGTTACAAATGGCCGCACCTGCTCTTACGTTAAAAACAAGGCAGATAAGGAATCAAAAACTAAAATTATACTGAATTAAAATAAAACTACAAGTGGAAAAAAAGCTAAGTAAAGTAAAAAAATAAAAAGGTGAGCTTGACAAACACTAGAAGAACAAAAACTAAACCGGACCTATAATAAATGTGCAAAAAAAATATAAACAAAAACTTAACTTTGTTTTTTTTTTAATAATTTATTAATGCTGCATGGTCTGATTTATTAAATCTTGCTAAACTTTACAAAACCAACCACCCACCAATTACATTTCACAGTTTCTGATAAAGTGTTGTGTCTTGCTATCTACAGAATAATTTATGTTCCCATGTTAATAGGGATGAAAAATTACATTGAATTAAAATTAAAACGCAACTAAAACTAATCCTTTTCAGAAACTAATGTTGACTTGAATTAAAACAACCTAAACTAAATTTTACAATCAAGTTCCTGTATAAAAATAAAAAATAAAGTATTTTTCAAAACTATAATGACCTTGGTGCTCTCACCTGGACTGGCGCTAGTGCAAAAAGTTGTCGACTCTGGCGAAGGAGCAGGAACCAGAGCGAACCCTGGCCATCAGCTGCACGCACTCAGTGGCCTGACCCAGAGCCAGCATGAGTGGAGGCTGTTTGGGCAGATTCTGAGACTCTGAATGAGGGAAAAGATCACAGATAGTAAATATGCAGGTATAATAATAACAACCTGTGGCCATGTTACCAGACCATTACAAGCTAATTTATCGGTCTCATGTGACTGCAGCCACATTTAAATTAAAAGGCCTACATAAGCGATCATGTTCACAGAACGCACTAGTGTGTGATCTGAGACAGCCAAGCAGCCTTACCCAGAATAGCACTGTTGAGAGCGGAGCAGATCGCCTCTCTTTGCATGGGGTCCAACTGCTGGCCCACGGGGCAGTTCCAGGGGTCTGAGTACGCCAGCAGACTGAATGCATCCTGAACACACACAGACACAAACAAACACATAGGCGAGTGGGCACAAAGGATGCAAGTGTACTGCTACCCACAGGGCTATTCAACTTTCCACTTCAACTGTGTATTTACATCAGCAACAAACAAGAGGCAGGAGTTGAACAGATTAGTTTATATGCTCGGAATTTTATTGCAAGTCTAAATAGACCGCTTCACCAATATTTAATATAAAACACAACAATCAAACTGTGATTGTGGTGTGATTGTACAATATCACTATAACGCCCTACTCTCCTCTTTCCCTCCATCCCTCCTACCTGCAGCATCTTTTTGTGAGTGGCGTTCTTGCCGTACTGGCGGCAGAGCTGCTCGCTGAGGGCCTGAAGCTCTCTGCCGAACTGGATCATTCTCTCCGTGGCCGCCTGGTTTCCTCCACACAGCTGTCTTGAGCTGCAGCTGTCATCTAGAGGAGCAGACACATTGCAATGAAACCACCAAAGCAGATATGTTTGCAACTCTAATTTCACAGCGCACATAGCTATTGTGGTTAAAAAACTGCTTCAATATAGTACAGCTGGGAAATCTCGCCTAAATTGTTTTATTAATCTGAGGCTATGTTTAATAAGCAAGTGGAACTACTGGGAATGCAAATATTGCCAAATGTAATGTAATGTAATACAATATAATATAATAAATAATATAATATAATATAATTCAAACATTTAAGTTTTTTAAATGTTTTTGAAGTCTCTTAAGCTCACCAAGGCTGCATTTATTTGATCTGAAATACAATAAAAACAGTAATATTGTGAAATAGTATTACAATTTAAAATGATTGTTTTCAATTTGAATATATTTTAAAATGTAAATTATTCATGTAATGGCCATTACATCAGTCTTCAGTGTCACACGATCCTTCAGAAATCATTCTATGTTGATTTGGAGTTCAAGAAACATTTCTTATTATTATCTATGCTGAAATTGTTCATATTTTTGTGGAAATTGTGATACCTTTTTCAGAATTATTTAATGACTAGAAAGTTTAAAATAAAATAATTTATTTGTTATAGAAATATTTTGTAACATTATAAATGTCATTTTAAGGCATCCTTGCCGAATTAAAATATAATTAATTTTTTTTTTAAGTTACTGACCCCATAATGTTCAACAGCAAAGTAATATAATATAATATAAAAACAATATTAAAAAGTCCTCCATATAATAGTCTGAATAAAATGTTTAAATACATTTGAACCATTTTCTCAAATCTAAGCAAAAAAACTAAACAAAAAACCTGAGCACTGGGTGCTATAAAAAAACTACACACTTTACAAAAACTTTGCAACTACAAAAGATCACACTCTCTCTTTGTAACCTTGGAGAAAAACATTTAATGGGCTGAATTATAGAGAAGCTCAATTTAGCAGCTCTCAAGGGGGAGAAGGACAGAGAAAGCAGAAAAAGAATTAGTCCCTTCAGAGAGAAGAATGAACAAGGGATGAGAAGAATATTTTTTAAAAGCCGTTCTCACAGCCTGTTGAGTATGACGTTGAAAGTCCTGCATATGTGGCGTGCGTGGGAGCATGTCCCGTACCTGCTACTCCATTGCCAACACTGCTGTCATCCGCCTGCAGGATTTCCTGGTGTTTATATGTGCCATTCATAATGCGAGCTGAGCTTTCTGTCACGCCGTTGCTGTAATGTTCTGCCTCAATTTCCATCTCACTATCACTGTCAACACACAAAAATACACAGTCAACAGCAGAGCTGGTCTCTCGAGAATGCAAGTACACAATATTTGAGAAAAAATTCAATTTTATATGCTTAGTCTTGCTTGCATGCAACTGCATATTTTGTTTTTCTGTCTGGCTTAAAGTCAAACCCACAATTACCATCCCAAACAACAACAACACAGACCTAGTCTCCTGGTTGCTGGTGGCACTGTGGGGCTGTGACTTGGTGGAGTCGGTAGAGTTAGACTCTGAGTAATTGACGGAGGAAGGAGAGGAGGATGGAGAGGAGGAGGCGGAGCTTACGCCTGTGTATTTGTTGTGGCTCTTATTTTTGTTAGTAGGGGTGACCCCGTTACTGCATGTGGGACTGTCTGCTCCTGAGTCATGAGGAGAGAAAGAAACAATGAGAACTATCTTGAGAAACAGTATGAATGAAAGTGCATCACTTCAATTGTAAGTTACATAAGCCACCCAACTGCAGTACAGGTGAAACAAGTGATTCAATAAACCATCTGTTCCACATCTTTTATGAATGTGTTCTCTTGGAGATGTTACTCATGATCAGACCCCCACGGAATTCTGAATTTGAACATCTGTTCTTCACAAAGGTCTATACATCCTTCAACCCTTGCATCTTGGTTTAATCAATATTTGGGCTAATTTGATTAATGCTTTCAGCTAACAATTAGACTAGTTGGCTCAAATAAGAAATCAATTAATAAATATTAAATAAATTAGATTTGTAATAAAAAAGATGCAACTGTAAGTACACATCTTGGTGGTATTTGTTGAACTGAATTTAGTATATTAATAAATTGACTAATAATAATAATAAAAGAATTAATCAATGATTAACTGTTTCTAATTGCAAATATTTCTACCCTACACTTTTTGGAAAAGTGTTAAATAGTTCAAGACTATTTAACAGAAACACTGTAGACATGGGTGAGCACAAAAAATCATTAATAAATATTAACGTCATATGTGACCTCAAAATAAATAAAAACTAATAATAATATGGTAACACTTTAGATTAGGAAACACATATTCACTATTAACTAATTATATTTTCCCTCAATAGACTCCTCATTTGTGCTTATTAATAGTTAGTACGGTAGTAGTTAAGTTTAGGTATTGGGTTGGGTTAAGGGATCTAGAATATGGTCATGCAGAATAAGGCATTAATATGTGCCTAATAAGTACTAATAAACAGCCAATATGCTAGCAATATGCATGCTAATAAGCAACTAGTTAATAGTGAGAATTGGACCTTAAAATAAAGTGTTAGCAATAATATTTAGCAAAAAAATGAAGCCTATTTTAGAAGCATTACAAATGTTTGCACTGTAACATTATTTTCATATAAATATAATGCAAAAAAATCATTCTCATTACTGTAATGTGAAAAAATATAATAAATCTTAATAAGCATGAATTCATTTAGATCTATAATTAAGAAAATTTATGAAGTGCAACTGGAAGTACACAACGTGGGATTTGTTGCACTGAATTTAATATATCATGATTTTAATATCAAAAACTGATTGCTGTATTAATGTAATATATAGATGTTTTTATTAATGATGATTTATTCATGAGAACTTTTTTTTAAAAATTATGTTAATGAGCATTTAGGGGAGAAAACTGGTTTAAATGTCATGCAAATAATGTCACGATTTCAATTTGTTTCCTTTATGCAAAATACTATTCTTGTTTTTTTATTTAGATTCTGGGATGAAACAAGGATTTTTTATGACACAACCAAATACATTAAATAACAAAGTGCTTAACTTTTAAGTAACACCAAAGATGTTAGTGTGGAGTGTGTCAGTGTTACCTGTGCTGTGCAAGTGAGCATTGGTGGCTCCGTGCCGTGGGCTCAGGTTGGGGGAGCCAGGATAGCTGTCCTGTGATTTAGGAGAGTGGACACTAAAGCACCGTACCTCACTATCTGTACCATTCACCATCTCCACAAATTGCCGACACCTAAGGGACAGCAGCAAAAATCACTTTTATATACCAGTAAGATCTCACACACAAATACACACTCACTTCAGACCTGCCAATCCATTCAAATGTCTGTCAACCAGATTTCTGTTATCCATTATGCCTACTGACTGACACTGTCGGCTCAGCAATCCATTAAACTGTCTGCTTGTCATTCAACTGTTATCCATCACAGAGAGAGAGAG